GTACTGTCTATTATTCATGTGTGAAAAGAGCATTTGCAAATTCCATTTACCCAAAAGGATAACTCAGACTTTATATTAAGACTTGATATAAGCGTTTTTTGAAATGTAAATATTTCAGATTTCATACCTAATTGGTAATTTAGTTCAAATGCAATTATTGGCTACTGCTATTTTAAATGTTGCAATATAAAACATAGGTCTGAGTATCACAAATTGACTCCCCTCATTTCATTTACAGTCCCTCTTTATCATCTTGTAAACTTATTGTGTTTTGATTAATTTAAAATTGCTTGCTTTGCTTCAGTAGAGTGTGAAATGCACTTTCCCTTTTGTAGTTTTTCAATTTCTATCATTGTGAGCAGGGGGAAAGAGTATGGGGCAGGCAAAGCGAATGAACACATGGATGTCTGGTGTAATTAAGAAACTGAAGTATTAGAACAGGCAGTGCCTTCACCAGCTATAATTCATCAAACATGGTCTTAATTAAATTGTTTACACAGATGTCTGCAAGCTGGTTCCTGCAACAGTCATTCCATTATAACAACACAATATTGTTACTGGACGTATAAGAAAAGTTTTGTGTGGCTGTTCACTACACTCTATAGGGCATCCTAAGATAGAGAAATGCATTTCTATATTAGCTAATTCAAACAAGTACAAGATCTCTTTTGAAGTTGCTATGAAAAAGGCTCCATTCTCTGTACTGGCAGCTGTAGAGGGGTGGGGGCACTAACATTTAGGCTTTGAATACCTAACTGTCAACACATAATTGAATCTTGATGGGCAACTGCTAGGTGTTTATAGTTCTTTTCAACATATTGATTCCATGAATCCAGAGTATTTTTAGAAATACTTAAATGTTGTAATACAGTAGCTGGCTGTCAGTATGGAGATTTGTTTGATTTGATTTGGGGATTTTCAAGGAAAATTTGTTTGTTTGTTTAGGATTTTTTGTCTCACACAAAGAGAATCAATGTTTTACTATTCTGTTCATTATATGAGGTGAGTGAAATGATTCCACATACAACACAGTCAGTGAGGCTCCAATGGGAAGAAAGGGCTCAGGGCTGCTTCCCTTTTTAGCCTGTTAACAAAACACTGAATCTTTAAAGTCTGAGTCACACCCTGTCAGGGCCATAGGAGGAATGTAACCGCTGTCGCAAACGCTCTCTTTTATTAGCCCAGAGCAGACCAGTGGTCTGCCTGCCCTCATTCCCAGTGTTATCTCAGGGATTAAGGGCTTGCTGTCTTTGACCACCCTCTCTTCGCCCGGTCACACAGACATAAACAAACACTCTGAAGACCTCCACAACACCACAGAAAAACACCCACTCACCCACACATGAGTTACCCAATGGACTTAGAGGGGAATGACTGACTTTGGTAGGGATTTGGTGGATAAAGTTTTATAGTTTTTTGGCTTTTTTTGCTCATGCTCAAATACATCTCAGAATAGCTATTGTGAGTTAGAGTATGGACAGTATTGTTTGAGAGAAGAAAAAACAAAACGCTGTATTTTTTATTTATCAATTAGTTTTTTGCCACAAGCTGACCAACAAATAGCCATGACATAATAATCTCATAATTTTGATTTGGCTGTTAACTGGGTTGATAAAAGTGGAACATTCAGGCTGTAAAACCAAAACAATGAGCTAAAAGAGGCCATAGAGTTTGTAGGTTAAAAAAAAAAAGATCTGTGAATGATTCTCTTTGGGTTCATTACCATGAATAAAACCTGTTAATGGTTACATTGCAGGCATGCGAGCAAGGTAACACTATGAATCCATATAGGTTATATATTCACAGTGCCTTAACTCTCTGCCAAACAGCCTGCAAGTACACACTTAAAACTACCAAAGAACTAATAGAACTTTGAGAAGAAAACACTGAATTTGACTATTATGCAGTGGCAGACTCAGGCTGTTTGAGGGGCAGCGGTGTAAAAAATAAAAAGGGCAACAGCAAACAGAAAGTTTCATGCATTTATGGTCAAACAACTTAGTCAGGGTTAGGATTAGCACCCTAGGGAACTTCCCTGGAAGCGTGGAATTTACCCTGGAAGCGTGGAATTTAACAATTTTGATTATTTAAAAAAAAAAACCCAAACAAATTAATCATATCCCTCTGTACGTGATTGTATTGTCATACAGGTTTCTAATCAATGCCTGCTGTATGCGCTATTGTGTTGTAAGCGCCTTGACATACCCATAATTCTCTGTTATCTGTGCTGAATATATCCACAGTATACACCGATCAGCCATAACATTATGACCACCTGAGCATGCTGCAGTTTTGGAGATGCTCTGAACCAATCGTCTAGCCATCACAATTTGGCCCTTGTCAAAATCGCCTTAAGTCCTCATGCTTGCCCATTTTTCCTGCTTCTAACACATCAACTTTGGGGACAAAACGCTCACTTGCTGCCTAATATATCCCACCCACTGACAGGTTGAGATAATTGGTGTTATTTACTTCACCTGTCAGTGGTCATAATGTTACGGCTGATCGGTGTAATTTGAAATAATGCGACATCTTCAGCTCTGACTGGTATCAGGCTTTGAGTTTTACCATGTACAGCATTATTTTATGATATTTATTATTTTTCTTTTTAACTCAATGCCACTGAAGTTGAAGATCTGATGGGGAAAAAGCAGAGAGTAATCAGAAACTTGCTGTTTTGCTGCCTGAATATCCCTAATCAGAACAAGAATAGTCAGTAAGTTTAAGTAAAACTTTTGAACATTAGCCAAGAAATCAATTTATATTGGTTTTTTTTTTTTAAAGATCTGAGCTAAAACAGCTCAGTTCAAAATGTACAGACAGCTGACAGCTCTTTAAAGATCGTAGGGACCAATGAAATTACCACTTCTCTGACTTCAGATGCTGAAAGCCGTAATTGACTGGTTCAATCATTGCAATAGCAGAGTGCTGATTGAAGCCTTGTTTGAAGGAAGTTTGACAGAAAACAGGAACAATAACAAGTCTGTCCCTTCACGACCCATCCAGCCAGCATCACATCTGTGTGCACTCGAGTGACATTGACAAAGGCTCTGCTTCACAGTTTTGCTCAGATGCTCAAGCCACAAAACTGACTGAAATGGTTTGTTTCTCTGTGATACTATTCCTGTTTGATGCTGTTACTCGCACTGGTCCATTCAACATGGGGTTTACTTTTACTGAAATTTAAAAGCAGCAAACAACAGCTGCCATGACTTTGAGGTTACTATGAATGTGACAGGATTAAATTGCTTGTAGCACAAGGTACTACCATGAAAACAGGTAAGATTGATATATATGGATTAATTTGGTGGGCAAAATGACTCATTACCAGTAAGTAACGCATCCAAGTGAAGAGGATAGCAAATGAGGTAAAAGATTAAACCATTTCTTTTTTTTCTTTTTATCTCATGACCATGAGGGAAATACCTGAAAACTTACATATGTGGTGTTTCAGTATAGATATTCCATTTGGCCTCTCTTGCAGGTCTCACTCTGTTTCTGTCGGACACAAATGTGCACATACCCACATGCACACCAAAAGACAACAAATTAGCTGTCAGTTTTACTAGCCATGTGACCTCAAAAGCAAAGAGAAGGGAGATAATGATCTTAGGCTAAGGACAACTATACAGACATACACACACGCACATCTGCACGCTTAAACTACACTATCCAAGGACTTCAAGCTCTAGATTGACGGATCAAGGGGGACTGGCATGAAGACAGAGAGGGCTAGATGCGATTATTGCATGACAGGCTTTAGCTGTCTTAAACTGAGTTGATAAACTGTGATGCATGCATAAAATTAAAGTTGCTATGATTAAAATTGTGGCACAGAACTTTACATCCTATATATACCCTCAAATAAATGAAATGAATGTTTTGTTGGTTCATTTATCATTCACTAAAGGGTATTACAGAGCAGTCATCTACATAAAGCCAAGTGACATATTACATATTTATAAAGTAGACACATAATGAAATTGCCTTGCTTGCTTTCACCTTGTAATTGTGCAAGATATACTATACTATACCTAGAGTTGGGGCACAGAAACACACTGACAATGGACACAGTCAAACCAAAGAGGATGCTGCCAATGAATCATTTGAATCACCCAGAATGCTCTCATGCTCTAATTGGGCACCTGCAGCAGATATATATATTGTGTTACAATTCATACAGGTACTGAATGTATTTTTAACATTTATGGGCTTAACTTGACCTTTCCAGTACATCATCCTTCAATAAAGCATTAATTAAGAGTCCCTTTAGGATCTGTGAGAGCTTGCCAGGTTCCTAAATATGGTGGAACACTCCAAGCTACTCAGTGACAGGAGAGAAAATGCAAGCTATCATTTATCCAAAAAATGAGAAATTGCCAAAATCCCCAAACGTTTCATTGAGCACTGATATTATCCAAACACATCTCTAATTGAAAAAAGGTTTGGCAGACCTTTTGTCTCTTAAAAAGACTATAATGCCATAGCATAAATCCTGAGGCAGGTTTAATGGATTCCCCTTAAGCCCTATCATCTTATTTTCTCAAAAGAGAATGCCCTCCTCTTATTATATAAATAATACATTATAACAAGTCCCAAAGTATGCTGATTCATCCTGAGACCACTGACATAGAATAATTAACTAATTGTGAGTTTTCTACAACTACAAAAAAGCATTGTTCCAGAAAGCAGTGATTCCCAGACTTTCAGCAGTTAGTGAGCAAAGCTATTTCGGTCCCTCTCCCTCATGGGCTGATACATTGACTGTGCTCTGATCCCTTTGTCCATCAGAGAGACAGAACATTTTCAGCCTAATGCAACTGGACCCTCGCTAATGACAGCAAATAGCCCTGTCGGCTAGATGACAGCAGCTGAGAACAATACTTAATGTTGACATCACTTGCTATGGGGTTCTATTTCGGGTTTCTTCCATTTATAGGTGTGCTGTTGGAAATTGCTATCTTGCTCCCTCGACAAAGCACATATAAAAGCTTTGGAAGAGGAGGTGACCCTCTGTGCTTGGGAATCACTTCCAATCCCTGCAGACTCTTGCTTGTTTCTCAGCAAGTACCAGCTAACCTCAGAATCCCTTTACAACATGGCACCAAAGAAGATTGAACCAAAGAAACCCGAGCCCAAAAAGCCAGAGCCTAAGAAAGACGCGGCTCCAGCTGCTAAGCCAGCTCCTCCTCCAGAGCCACTGCCTGAGCCACCCAAGGAGCCTGAGTTTGATCCTAAAAGCATCACTCTCGAGTACAGTGCTGACCAGATTGAGGAGTTCAAGGAGGCCTTCACCTTGTTCGACCGCACACCGACTGGAGAAATGAAGATCACATATGCCCAGTGCGGAGATGTGATGCGAGCTCTGGGCCAGAACCCTACTAATGCAGATGTGCTCAAAGTTCTTGGAAAACCACGGCCAGAGGACATGAGCACTAAAATGGTGGATTTTGAGACCTTCTTGCCAATGCTGCAACATATCTCCCGTGCAAAAGATCAAGGCAACTTTGAGGATTTTGTGGAGGGGCTCAGGGTTTTTGACAAGGAGGGCAACGGCACTATCATGGGAGCAGAACTGCGTCATGTGCTGGCAACACTGGGAGAGAGGATGACAGAAGACGAGGTGGACAGACTGATGGCTGGGCAAGAGGATGCCAATGGGTGTATCAACTATGCCTCGTTTGTAAAGCATATTCTCTCTGGGTGAAAGGGACATTTAACCATAAAGACTTAATTGTACCTCTATTTTCTCCACCTTCTGGATCCTTGCTAAACTTTCCTATGTCCATTTAGAGGTGAGCATGTCACTTTGTCTGTGACATTATTTTGCTGTCAAAAGCAGTTAATGTTCAGTGAAAAAATGTTGGCCCCAAGACCTATGATTAGTTCTTTTTAATAAGCAGTCTGAAATATAATGGAATGCCAGTGAGATAAGGATATGGACATCCATAAAGAAAATTCCATTAATAAAAGAAATATGATTACAAACTGCCTCACAAATGTCATTTTAGTATACCCAACATTTAAAATTGAAGAAGAAATGATGATTCATGCAGAATGCTGATAAAAGTGCTCATTTGATGTATTTTCAACTTTTCACATCAACTGTGTTAATGTGATTAGGGAAAAGTATTGTTGGGACAGAAAAAAAAAACAAGCAGGATTTGGCTCAATCTAAAAATAGAACAGATTTGACTCTATTCTACTTTACACAAAGAGCGTTTGAATTAGCGCGTTTATCATTGTGCTTGAGGGGCAGCTGCTGTGGATCAAGATATACATTCTGGACACACACACATACATGCACACACAAATCCACTTCCCTTTGACAACTACAAGACAGGTGTTCCAAGGACAGCCCCTCATCTCTATTGCAGTGCCTGAAAGAACTTTTGTTGCCACTTTAAAGCAAAAATGTTTCACTGTTTTGTAAACAGTATACAAAAAAATATGTCTTCCAAGTAGCGTTTTTCATAATTCGGGAAAGGCACACTGCATTTTGTATATAAGTCCACATGAAAATGTGGCCCTATATTACCATTTATCACTTTAGCAGATCAGTGCATTCATGTGTCATTGATTTTGGAACAGTGGATAAGAATACTCACAAACATCTGCATCCTCCAGACTCTATGAAAAGCTTTACAGCTGCATTAAGCAATTTTTGACCACTAGGGGGATTAGACTGCTACATGTTCAACTTTGAAAGTCAAGTGTGCTCTTTGGCTTGCCATCATTTTGCGCTGAGTAGGTAGCAGACATTTGGCCTGTGCAAATTCATGTAATGGGAATGGCTGACCATGGTTTATATAAGGGTTTGGTGAGAGCTGTTGGAACTCAACCACACGGACCAGTGAGTTTAAAGCAGTTGATAGCTTAAAAAAAACCCTGCAGAGTGGGGTTTTCATTCACAGAGGAGTTGACAGTACTAAAACCTACATCCTGAGAAATCACTTTTTCAATGTCGAAATCAGACATAGAACTGTAAAAAAAACTTACTAGGTTGTTTGTGTAGTTTGGATTTTGAAGTTTAAAGGCAACTGAGGTACAGCAAGTCTCCCCCTGCAAGTTGTAGTCTCAGTTCCAACAATTCTCAGCAGTACTCAGACCTTTCTGTGGTGCAATGCTGTACCATACAGTACAACTCAATCACGCAACAATTAAATTTTATGTCTGCCATGGAGGAAGAGTATAATGTATTAATGTATTGACGCAGGTCAGTTATATAAACCAAAGTGAGAAGGACCTTTGTTTCCTTTTTAGCAGTGGACATGGACAGCATTTACTGGACTCATAACAGCTGCATATAAACTCAGATGGTGAGAAACACACAAACGAAATTACCTTATTAGCTACTAAAAAAACAAACACTAAAAATATCCAAGACATTTGGTGCATCAATTTGGAACAGTGAATTGTGACATTTGTTGCAAAATAAACATATTTTTTCTGCAGGATGGTCTTGATGAGCTTTTAAATCAGTTAATGAATTAAGTAGATCAATTATGCAAAGACTGATTCAAACATTACAGGCAGGAGACAGTTGGTCTCACTTTCAGAACATGAGTTAAATAATAACGTAAACAAAAAAAAAACCCCAAAAAACAAATGACACTTAAATGTAAAGTTAACTTAAATATTCTAGTTTCTGAGATTAAAGAAAATAATCCTACATGAACTCTTAAGTCAGACCACCTCTTACCTGTAGACAACATAGATCTTATCAAATTATTACAAATACATACAACTTGAAATAAACCAGCCTGACCTCCATCAATAGCAGATTTTATTCTTTGATAACTGCCACAACAATAACTGTATGTCCATGTTTCATGGCTCAGTTTCCTAAACTATTTCAGCATTTGCTTTTATATTATTTGTAATTAACTTTTCTGGCTACTTTTCTCATAGCCACAGAGATAATGGATTTGAGGTAGTTATTATTTGCAATTTAACTGTCCACCTGTCCTGCATGGAATATACCCATTATTTTAATGCACTTGGACTGGCAGCATGTTGCTCGAGTATGTTTTTTTAATGTTTTTTTTTTTTCAGTGCATGAACTAGGCATTTGTTTTACCCTTTTCATTTTAGTTTTTGCTCTCTATTGAGGACAGTTCTGTAAAAATACCGCCGTCTCAACAAGTCAGGTCAGTGTAGGGTTGTACCTTTGACAATTTGGGGAGGGGTCACTTATTTTTCTGCAATATTTTGTTTAAAAAAATAACCACTATTTGGTTGCTTATATAATTCTTTACTTGTCATTGTGTATGCTGACTCAACATAAAATCATCAATATCTTACACATGGACAATGTGCATAATGTACGTATAATATTTTCACTTTCAACTGATTATACATATACTATGAAACTGCTTGCAATAATTTCCCCCTTCGAGACCCTAGTTCATTGTTGAAAAACGCGTGCTAAAGTGCCCTCTTGGGAGGAACAAAAACGTGGTGTTATAAGTGCCCTCTTGGGAGCCCAAACGCGTCAAAGTGCCCTCTTAGGTCGCAAAAACGCTGCTAAGTGCCCTCTTGGGAGCGCCAAAACGCATCTAAAGTTCGCCCCCCTTGGGGAGCCCTAAAAAACGTGCTAAAGTGCCCGCTTAAGTGCCCCTCCTTGGGAGGCCAAAACATCGTGCTAAAGTGCCATCCTTGGGAGCCCAAAACTCGCTAAAAGTGTCCATTGGGAGGCAAAAAACGGGTCTAAAGTGCCCTCCTGGTTGGCAAATATACACTAAATTGCCCTTCTTCTAAGTTCGATTATTAGTGGTAGAGATACTATGCATGTTAAGGAGGAGTTACCTCACTACGTCCTTGTGGAATAGCTTTTCACAGAAGCTAGCAAATAAAGTAACTTGTATTCCTTCATGACCATTGCCAGTGTCGGCGTGTGTTCTTCAACTAGTCCCAACATTGAAATCCACACAGTTCTTGTGGGAGCTGATCCTTAACAGCGACTAAACCTGAGGTAGTCTGTCTAGTTAGTTCTGTTTAAGGCTATCAGAATGTGCCATTTGTATATGACATGGATAAAACGGTCTAAGTGCCCCTCCCCCTAACGTTGGTGAGGACCTGCGCTTTATGTGCCGCTTCCTTTTTTTTCTTTCCGCCCTGCCCCTTTGCAAAAAGTCTGTGCACACCACTGTCTTTTTTACTGGTGACAGCTATTGGGGACCAAATAAAAAACAAATAAGCAATTGTTTGTATCCTATGGATATAGTGTAGTGTAATATAATCAGTGCAATACAAGCCTTTCAGCAAAGTACTGATTATGCATTATGCAACTGCAGGAATTACTGAATTGTAGTCACTGATTGGTAGCTTAGCTTAGGTTACTTTATAATTTAGGTTAGCAATTGGTGTTAATTTGTGCCACTTTTGAAGGCTCAATTTTACACAGTGACATGTAAATGAAGTGGAAGTCATTAAGATTATCCTAATACCAAAGCTAAAGTTTCTCAATTAATTAACAATTGAATTTGAATGTGTGATAGCACTTTAAATACCCTGTGCTTAGGAGCTATTTTTGGCTTACTGTAGAAGGAGTAGAAAGATGCAGCTAAATAGCCAGAAGTGGCAGTTAGTCTATGCAGCTGTCAAGTACATGCAAAGGAGCTTCTTAGTGCACTGGGCATCCAGCTCCATACCCGTTTGAGAGGCAGCCAGTAATTTAGACCCATCGTGATTAATCAGCAGCTGTTAGCTTTAAAGTCCTTTGTCAAATATGTGGGGTTCTTGGCTGAGAGGATCCACCAGCTTGTGCACATACGTTTTCATTTTAGTTGTGCGCAGCATTTTCTGTACAAAAGGTGGACACAACATGTTAAATGTTTATTGAGTGTGTCATAGAGGTGATGCCTCTAATTTTCATAGCCATGGTTTATGCCTTTGTTGTTTTTTTAGAGTTCATTATATTAAAATGTCAGATATACAAACTGTTCTCCGCATTGCTTTAGCAGCCCAGGTGGCCGCATAAAACAGGACAGCACACACACACACACTTGCACAGAAATATCAAGTGGCATTTCTCATTTAAAGTGGTAATTTGTGAGATCCTCATATTTTGCCAAGGGCAACATGCGGTGTTTGGTGCCAAGCAGTTATTGCTTTAGCGATCTTGCACTGTACCTTATTTTCAGTGTCAAACTGTGTAATGAGTACTGAGTTGTCCCTTACCAGGAATTTTAATTTTCTGTACTGGTCTCCTCATTGTTGTTCTTCTTCTGCCAGGAAAGCATCACATTCCACTGTGGGAAAGGACTTTTCATGCGCCGTAGATTATCACTTTAGCATCCATTAATAATAGCAAATAGTGAAACAGACATTTATCTTTTTTTCTGCAATATTCTGGGAGCAGGCACATATTCGGTAAAAATATCTAATGTCCAGTTTAACACTGTTTAGCTCAGCAGTTACAAATTACCATGAGAGCAGTGACAAAGATAGATGCCAACCTTGATTATAAAACAAACGAGAGTCAAAGAAGGTGTGCCAAGGTCAAGATCAGCCAGCATCATTCGCTGGCAGTCTATCATTTTTCATGGGAAGCAACAAATTCACCACTCTATTAAGAATAGATGAACTCATTTCATTTACTAAGGAGTCCGGCCGGATTTTGAATTACAAGAACAGGTCTCATTTATGGATGGAAATTGTGTGAGCAAAATCTTTTGTATATGATGAAAAGGAGTCTTCTCCAACCTATAAGCTACAAACCTTATCAACTAACATTGCCCCATACAAGATGAGATTGCTAACTCTGCTCAGTAGGCGAGTATCACTTTAATGTAACACTCCAGCCACAATGTGATTACACGAAACGTAATACACATTTGAGCTCCATTTGAGTCAACAGTTTCAACTCTTCATTTACAGACTAAATAGGTCACACCGATCTTTTGCATTCTTCTCTTAGCTGGCACTAAATTAATAAAAACATCTATGGCTTCACTGGAAAATGAAAGTACTTAGAAATCAATATA